CATTTCACATGTTGGCCCTTCATATTAAGAAATGATTTAGTGGAGCAGCGGTGTTGGCATGGAAAGTCATTGTTAGTTGTGGCAACGAAAGGTTAGAAGGGGACTCTGGAAGCAGAATTGGTGGGTGTTACTGCGCGACGGTGCACAAGTGTGATGCCCCCGATGTCTGTGCCTTTGCCTGTGCTTCTGAGCCCTGTGATTGGAGAGAATGGGGTCTTCTTCCTGTCTCCACTGCTCCCCATCATCACATGTGAAGAGTGAATTTGCTACAAAGTAGTTTTCAGAATTGACTGACATTTTGGTGTAGATGTACAGCTTATATCATCATCCATTCATTTAATCAGTCACCACATATTTATTGAGGCTGCTATGTGCTGGCTGCCAGGCCAGGCTGCTGTGCCTTGGTAAACAAGTCAACATGGAACCTGCTTTTCTCTGGCTCACAGGGAGAGGACCAGGGCACAGATAAACCAGTCAGAAGTCCTTATGGCTGAATGACTGAGTAGAAGTGGTCTGGGAAGGTGTCTCATAGGAATTCATGTTTTAGCTGAATCTGCAAAGATGAGAAACAGGCAGCCATATAAAGGCTGAGGAAGAGAAGGAGGGAATTTTTAACCACCTGCTTCCCAGGGTTATTTGAGGATTAAATGTTAAGAATATAGGTACAGTGCGTGGCACATAGTAGGAGTTCAGCCTGTTTTGCACCCCACCCCCATCTTCACTGATCCTTTCTAAGAGGGCAGTGAGAGACATGGGTGTCATGACAAGGCAGAAACCAAAAGTTTGCTCAAGCCAGGTGACTTTTCTAAGCATTGCTGTTACTGCTCTTAGTTGCCATCACGTCAGTTTCAACTCAGCGTGACCCCACATGCACATTGCTGGACCTCACCTCCAGGATGCCTCCAGGTGGGCTTGAACCCCCGTCCGTTTGGCTAGGTGTCAAGAGCTTAATGGTTTGCACCACCCAGGCAGAAGCCTGGAGTTAGAGCTCGAAATGCCTGCCATTTTCATCTGTCCCTGAGACTTCATGTGCTCGGGCCAGAGTCTGGAGGCTGACTTGTGTACCCAGAGATGAATTAGGACCTGGGCCAGGTCTGTGCCTTGGCCATCAAGTCTGGTGCCTACCCCAAATCCCCCTCAGGTGGCAAAGAAAACAGGCTTTAGGAACGGTTAGCATTCTGGACCCAGTCGCACATCTCCTGTAGAGCAGTGAATTCTTTCAGACTTTCTTCAGCCCATCAGAGGTCCCTGCACAGCTGAGGCCTTCAGTACGGATGTGTGTTACTTTATCTTCCCAGGAAACAGAGGCAGGATGGGGACTGTGTCGTATAGGGGTTAAAAGGGCCAAGTTTGGAGCCAGACTACCTGGGTAGGAATCCATCTCTGCCACTAACTAGCTCAGTGACCTTGGGAAAGTTATTTTTGTGGGTTCTCTACTGGTGCATAACAAACCACCTCAGAACTTATTGCTTAAAAACCAACCATTTTCTTGTCTCTTGTGATTCTCCTGTTTGACTAGGCTCAGTTGGTTGGCTCTTCTGGGTGGTTCTGCTGGGGCTGCTGTCATCAGAGGGCTTGACTGAGCTGACTTCCCAGATGGCGCAGTCATTTGGCTGGCATTTGGTGCCAGCTGTCCCTTACATGGGGCTATCAACCAGAGCACCTCGTGTGGTTTCGCCACCTGGAAGAAGTGAGCACCTGAAGTCACCCTGCACTGAGGACCCAGGAAAAGGAGGCTTGAGTTGTGCTCCTGGCATCTCCACTCCCTCTCTGTTCACACTGAGCCCTCCTGTCCTCAGTGTGACCCGGGATGATACACTAACCGCAGGGCTGTCGGGAGGGCAGTGTAGGAAGTCGGAATGTGAAAACACTTTGTAAGGTGGACCGGCTTTGGCAAGTCACCTGATTTTCTTTCTTTGGTTTCTTTTTGAGCACATAGTAGACATTTGCTGCTTTCTTTGTCCCTCTGTTATCTGAACAGTCTTTCCAGGCTTGAGGAACTCCCAACCCCATGGCAGGGTGGCAGGATAAGCCAGTGTCAGCGTGCATGGGGGACACTGACATTACAGCCTGATGACTGGGGGCTTCTGTCAGCGGGCCTGGCCCTGCTCACCAGCCTCCAGGCAACCTCGTAAATCCTGAGTCAGAAGAGACTGTGGGAATGTCTTTGCTGATAAGCCATCTCTGTGGTTCTCACCTGCCATTCCACATCCTTGGACACAGTTTGGATGTGTTTGTTCCAGGGGGATTCAGGAATGCTTGGCTGCTCCATTTCTCCAGTCATGGGCTCTGCCTTTTCCTGCACCCAGATACCGCCGTGTGATTCCCACAGGCCAGATGGCATGCTGACTTCCCTGCAGGACCAGGGAGAAGCAGATGAAGACAGCCATGCTGTTGATCATCTCTTTATGCCCTGTGTTGAGGGTGAGCCGATGAAAGGCTTGCATCCCTGAATTGTGTCTTCCCAAGAGTCCCCAGGCCTTCAGGACCATGGGCACGGCCATGGCCAGTGCCAGCAGAGACCTGACTGTTCTTACCGGGCAGCCTCTGCTCTGCATGCCTTTATTTCCAGAACGGGAGGCCAGACAGCTTTCTGGAGGCTTACTATACACCCTAGGTGGTATCCTGCATCAATCTGGGCAGACAGTAGGAAAAGATAAGTCTTTAAGATGTTTCTGAGGTCTGCCCATCAATTATCATTATGCATTTAGTATGGAGCCTAGACTTCCTGTCGAACTACATTTTATGACTCGGGCAGTTCAGGTGCCCTTCTCCCAGCCATGCACCCTGGAGTTCATAGATGCATAAACATCTCCTGGCTCACTGACACCAGCAATGCCACATGATTAAAAGAAAGGCCTCTAAATCAGGAGGATTTAATGGCTCCTGTGTACTTAGGCCCACTGTCCAGAATGGTCCCTGAAAAGCAGCATGCCTGAGGGAAAACGTGTCAAAACAATGCCTCGTTCTGAGAGCTCCCTCTTGACAGCGCTTTGTCCCTTCTAATGGAACAGTGATGCCTATCCTTCATGTTACCATGTGTCTTACTCCAGCCCTCAGGCCGCCCATCGCTTTGGCTTTGCACAGTGCACACAGTCAGAACCTTCTTAACTGTGCAGGAGCGGACTTCTGTGCAAGCTCTGTCCTGTCAGTCTGCAGTGAGGCAGCCTTAAAAAACAGTAAGGGCAGTCTGCCAGGTTGTCCTCAGGTCCGTTTGCTTGATCCTCACACCATCGCATCACATTCTGAGGGGAAGCTCAGAGAAACGGGTACTGAGAGCAGCGTCAGTACCTGCCTGTGATGGTGCTGAAGTCCTCACTGTTGACCCTCGGTTCCACAGAAAGGGCTGAGTGGTGAGAGTGGAAGGTGGTGTGCCTTCAAGCCCTCCCTTTGCCCCTTCCGTCTCTGATGCGTAAGGAATGGGAAGGCAAGGCCCCTCCCAGCTGGCTTTCTGCGTTCCAGCAAGATGCGCAGATTACTAGGCTGGGACGCACTAGTGTGTTTTCTTTTCACAGTAAGATACACAGTTCAAGGTTACACAGTCAGCACGTCTTCATCGTAGAACATACACAGAAGCGCAGAGCACATAATACCGATCCCCGGGGCAGCTCTCTCTCAGGTGGCCCATGTCCTCTCCCCGTGTCCCGTCCCTGGGGCTGCTCTCTCTCAGCGTGGCCCGTGCCCTCTCCCTGGGGCTGCTCTCTCTCAGTGTAGCCCATGTCCTCTCCCCGTGACCTCTCCCTGGGGCTGCTCTCTCTCTCTCAGCGTGGCCCATGTCCACTCCCTGTGTCCTGTCCCTGGGGCTGCTCTCTCTCTCAGCGTGGCCCCTGTCCCATCCCTGAAGCTGCTCTCTCTCAGCGTGGCCCGTGTCCTCTCCCTGGCATATCTCCTTCTAACCTTATCAATACACACACATTCTCCATTATGTCTAGGAATTGTATCGAACGTTTGCAGTTTGTACCTTAACAAACAAACAAACAAGCAGATGCCATGAACTTTTTTTTTCTTTGCCATTAACAATTAATCAAAAGCATTTTAGGGTGATAATACATTTTTTATTTAAAATTTTCATTGGTCCTACATTAATTTGGGAGCATTCTTGAAACAAATGTCCCATACCCTTCTCTGTCCACTTGGGTCCTCTTAGTCTTGATGCAAATTCTTAAAATTCTGGCCAGTTCAGACTGGCTCTGATGCCAAGAGGAAGCTTATTCCCTGGTCTGATGGAAGCACCACGTTTACGGAGCATCCAGAGTGCTGGGCAGTGTTCATTTACGTAATAATTGCAAACCCTTGTGACAGCTGTGAGAATGGATTTCCTACCACCTGAGGGACCCTAGACCCAGAGATGGGAAGACTTGGCAGAGTCACTCACACAGGTGGATGCCTGCTGGCACCTCACTCACCTACAAGGACTGTGGTCAGGACACTGCACAGTGAGATGGGGGCCCAGCATGGGTGCCCGAAGTCTTGTTTCTCTCAGTCATGTTTTCCAGTCAGACTCATGGCAACCCTTCTGAGGAAGAAGGGGAAACTGTGTTCTGCTGACTTAACTGCCCATACAGTCAGTGTGTGTGTGTTGGGGGCCTCAGCCCTTGGGGGTAGACGTTGGCCTTTTTGCTTGTGTCTTGTGTGTGTCTGTGTGAATGATGTTCACCACAGAGACAGTGAGTATGTTTCCATCACACATCTGATACCTCACACCTCAGACCCTAATTACCCCTTTCTGGCTCCAAAATGACGTGCTTTTGCAGTTACCTCAATAGGAAAGCAGCCCTTTTCCACAAAATATAATTGAGATCCTGGTGGCGTGTTTCTGTTTCTGCAACACCGTCCCCAACCATGCCTCCGGGAAACTGCTTAGAGTTTGCCACTACCTGCTTTTCTGCCTCATTCTTAACGGGAAGGGGGCAGTGGTCATTGAGCCAGAATGCTTGTCCTTGTGCAACCCTGGTAACTGTTATGCATTTCTCTCTCCCCCTCCCCACCCCTGATGGCAGGTGCCTGGAGATTTGAGTCAAACATCTGAAGACCAGAGTTTGTCGGATTTTGAAATGTAAGTCCAGGGCATGCGCTCATGACGGGCTCTTCAGAGAGAGAACTCTTGTTTGGCGTGGGTTCCGAGACTGCAGGAGCGAACAGAACTCACTCTTTACTGCTGCTCAAGGCTGATTGGTTACGGTGCAGGGGGAATGTTGGGCACCTGAGTCTGGCCTTCAGGCAGGGTTTATTTCCCCCTTAGGTATTTAAAAGGAGCTCTGGTGATGCAATGGTCAAGGCATTTGGCTGCTAACCAAAAGTCAGTGGTTCGAACCCACCAGCTGCTCCATGGAAGAAAGATGAGGCAGTCTGCTTCCATAAAGATTTACAGCCTTGGAAAGCCAGTGGAAATTGCTATGAGTCAGAATTGACTTGATGGCAGTGTGTTTGGTTTTTTGGTTTGGGGTGTTTAAACTTTTTTCTGGCATTTACTGGGAGATTGCACATCAGAATTTAACCCACGTCCCTGCGTGGCCACCATCATGTAAGCTGAGTAGCCACTTTCCCCTTCTTACAGGGCAGGCCCTTCTTGGTTTACTGCAATCCTTACTCCCCTATTGTCTTCCGGTGCCCACTCTGCTCATTCTTTGATCTTTGGCTCCCACGGGAATCTGAGTTTGCAATAATAGGTTACTGGAAACAACAGTAGTTGTTAGTGCGTTGATCTGCTTTTTGGTCAGACTCATTCCATCAGTGTACCTGCTGGTAACCCTTAAGGAACTTAGTGAGTCTTAAAACCATCTATTTGTGATCAGGTTACCTTGGCTTTTGGCCATATAATCCTCTTAGGCTGCTAAAGAAAGTACTGAGTTTTGTATAGGGGCCAGGCGGAACTGCTGCAGTCTCCCATTTGTTTGTGGGGAATGCAAGAAGGTACAGCCTCCCCAGGAGGTGTCTTTAGGTGAAGTCTGGGTCTGGAGAGGCAGGATGGGGCTCCTGGGGAAGAGCGCTTTATCAGAGCCAGGCACATCTGCTGCAGCCTCAGTTCCAGAGCTCACATCAGCAAACCTCAGGCAGCCCTGTACCTCGATGAGCCCCCATTTCCTTATTCACGAGGTGAAGTTCACCATACCAGCCTCGCGGGACCGTGACAGTGATGAGAACAAGATGATGAAAAATGCAGAGAATACCAAGAAGACACTCGGCCCTTGGGGCGGCTGTTGGGGTGGGGGAGGTGACTGCTCAGTTGTTGGAGGAGGAGATGGAGGTGGCTAAGAGGCGAAGGAGAGAACCCCTTCAGTGGGGTGGCTGCCTATAGCTTCATGGGTGGGAATACAGCGTGAAGAGGACAATGGAAAGACAGCCTGGCAGATAGCAAGGTGGGACCAGCTGCGATGAGTGGTCGAGCTGTACGGGGGAGTCAAAGATGAGGGGACAGTCTGCTGTGAAGCTTAAGGGACCAGTTACTGAACCAAGAACTTCCCAAGCACCCCTTATGGGCTAGGCATCATGGCACGTGCTTGGTTATGGTAGGAATAGGCCATACTCCTTGCCCTCAAGCAGCTTCCCCCTGGCGTCGGCACCACTGGCTTTCCCGTGGAGACTTGCAGTTTCCTCCCTGACCGTTAGCTCATCTGCACTGAGGCTGGAGAGAAGCCCTGCCCACTGTCCACTCCCGTTGACTGGATTCGGACTCACAGTGACTCTGTAGGACAGAGAAGATTACAAGGCTGTAATCTTACAAGAGCAGGCTGCCACAGGTTTCTCTCACGGAGCAGCTAGCTGGTGGGTTCATACAGCCAACCTTCTAGTTAGCCAAGCACTTAACTGCTGCACCACCAGGGCTCCTTCATAGGGAGCAGCAGGACCATTTCCCCCTCTCTCAAGATGGAGCCCAGAAATGCTTCACGTGGCTTACAGAGAAGGCCCTTGCTGGCTGCGTCCGCAGCCTGCCACTCCTCCCTCCCTGCGTGCCAGCCACACTGCTGACTCGACACCCCCACCTCACTCAGTTCTCCCCTCACGGTCAGTCTGTCATTTCTTTAGGATACCTGCACGACCTCTGCTCTGGACTCTGTCCTGTTCTCATCCCTGAGTCCCCACAATGAGCCTCTGGATTGTATCAGTTTTTAAATGATGTATTCGGGTGGCGGTTCGAACCCAGGCCGTCTTGATCTGGGCCCTGTGCTCTTGGCAAATGGTGTCCCCTGCCTGAAACACCTGTCCGTCCCCAGACTCAACTCCCGTGGGGTGTCTAACTCCTCCACCTTCCTTGAAGCCCAGCCCAAACACTGGTCCCTCGGCAAAGCTTGTCTGATGCCCCAGACCAAGTCAGGCCCCCTGCTGTTCACTGGGATCAGTGTCTAGTATTCCTTAGTGACACTATTTCATTGCCATTAAAAAAAAAAAACACCAAACTGTTACCATCAGGTCGGTTCCAACTCATTGCAACCCTGTAGGACACTGTAGAACTGCCCCACATGGTTTCCAAGGCTGGCATCTTTACGGAGCCAGACTGCCCCATCTTTGCCCCACAGAGCAGCTGGTGGGTGTGAAATGCTGACCTTTTGGTCCACTGCCAAGTACTGTAACTCCTGCACCACCAGGGCTGTTTGGCGGAGTGAGTGATGAAGAGGGTTTATTTTACCCAGAGAAGGAGGCACCACCTGAGCACAGAGCTCAGAAGAAGTCCTGCTTCTGGGGAGAACCGTTACCTGAGGGCTGTCTTCTCTGTGGAGAAAGAGGCTCATTGCTGTAGAGGTGGTGAGAATGTTGCTCTGCGGGACCTTCCATCATCGACATCTGAAATCGTGTTCCAAGCAAATTCCCTGAGCTGCTCTTTAGAGAGAGGAAGCTCCAGGAAAGCATTTAACCATGAAAGAGCTTTAAGTCGAGGCAAGAGTCATGCAGCACCGTTTTGGGGGTTTATTTTTATGTTAATTGTAGTTTGGATGAAAGTTGACAGAGCACGTTGATTTTCCAGTCAACTATTTTGTTCTGTCCTGTTAGTTGCAATCCCCTCAGTGTAGCACCCCCTTTCCCTTCTGCCCTGGGTTCCCCATTCCCATTCCTCCTCCTTTCCTGCCCCTTCCTACCCTCCTGAGCTTTGTTTCTGGGCAAACGCTGCCCTTCGGGTCTGGTCTGGTTGGTTGTTCTGAGGCGTGCTTCCTCACGTTTTTGTTACTGTTCACTTTATAGGACTGTCTGTTGTTTGGCTGCAAGGTGATCTCTGGGGGTGGGTTCAGTTCCAGGTTTGAAGGGTGTCTCAGGGCCATGGTCTCGGGGGTTCCACCCATAGCACTGTTTGGATGGCTGTTATGATTGGTTTTGAAATTTCAGCAACCATCCGCTTGTCAGCTCTGTCTGGTTTGGATCCAGCCAGGTGGAGTTGGAGGTGATCGCTGCTGCTGCTGCTGTGTGTGTGTGTGTGTCTGTCTGTCTGTCTCCAGTGTGTGTATGACTCGTAAGTTTAAAGTCATCACATAAGGCAAACCTGTCACATAACCAAAATTAATCTTGAAAATTCCTTAATTAGTCCTCCTGGGGATTAGATGAGATTATGTAGGTAACAGCACAGAGTCACACATTGTAGGTATTCAAAGTTCTTGGATTTGATTGTAGGTTTTGCTTGATTAGATCCACATACGTAGTATTTTTGGAGACTTTGAAAGTGACCTGGCTTCTGGGGTTTCCTGCCTGTCACTTTCTGTTGTGGCTCTCCCACTCCTCACCCGTCCCGCAGTACCTGTCACCCTTAAAGCGTTAGTCTCCTGACCTCTGGTGCAGAGTGTGGTCTTAAAACAGGGTCAAGGTCTACAATGGGCACTGGGGGGAGGGAGGCGACTCTCCGAGGAGACCTGGGAACTCTGAGGGTGTTACTGCATGTGACCCCCACAGCCTCATGAGGGGCTTCCCGGTAATGCCCCCTCTCCCAGCTGGAGAAATGCAGGTTCAGATCAACCACGGGTCCAGGTCGCTCAGCTCCTCCTCCTTCTGGGGCGCACGCCAGCTGTCGCTCTGAACTGAGGTCCCTTAAAAGCAGCCTGGGGGACTGGATGGTAAGACACAAGTGTGTCCCTTAGTTTACTGTTAAGTTGTCATAAGTTGCTTGTGTATAATGCCTCTTAAAATAGAAAATTGTTTTCTTGTTATTTGAATTTTTTTTTTCAAGTTTTAGTTATTTTGCTGCTGCTCTTGGGAATGACAGCAGAGCATGTCCCGTTCAGCAGTTTCTCCGTCCATTGTGATCACTTCCTTCGAGTTGTGCAGCCATGCTCACCCCCCCATTTCGGAGTTGTTCCTCTCCCATTAACATCACCTCACTGCCCCCTAAGGTTCCTGTCTGATCTTTTGAGTTCTTATCAATGTGATCCCGTATTAGTTTAGCTTAACTAGTAAAAAAAAAAATGTCTTTTTTTGGGGGAAGTGGAAATGATCCATTTTGATCTCTTTCTCTTGTCCAGATCAAACCGGGCTCTGATCAACGTCTGGATCCCCTCAGTGTTTCTCCGGGGCAGAGCTGCAAATGCATTCCACGTGTACCAGGTGAGGTCTGGTTGTCAGTTTGCCACCACAGCCAGGGGCAGCTGACACAGCGCGTGGCAGTACTTTGCCTCTTGGCGATGGAACTCTGTACTTAGCGGGCTGCGGCCCTCCAAACACCACCATTTCAGCTGCCCAGCCACCTTGAGTCCATGGCCATCACTTGGTCAGCTAGGAGGGAACAGGGAGGAACTTTCTCCTGCAGAAACCTCTTGTGTGGCTGGGACAGGTCCTGGCTCGGCCTGCTGGAGCAGAACCGGGGATTTGTTGGCTCGTGTTGCAGCCCCATTGTCCAGGGTCCTTCTGGCCTCAGGTGTGACTGCCCTAGGAGAGGAAGTGCTGGCGACAGGAAGCTACCGTGCCCCTGTCTCCCCTGTGTGGCATCCTTCTCATGGTGGTGTGTCAGGATGTGCCCCGCAGAGCCAAGCTCTCCACCGGTCACATGGTTTCAGCAGAGTCGTAGCCTTTTGCACTGGTCTGCAATGGTTCATGAGCCCATCCCTAAATCTCGGGGCTGGGGGATGGACTGCTGTGAATGAGTCCAGGTTTGGGTCTTAGGGCCAGCACTGGGACTGGGGACCACACATGGAGAAGGAAAGCCAGGCTACTCTTTCAAAAGTAGCGGCAGTGAGTACATGACCAGCACACACTGAGGCATATCTCCTCCACTACCTTGGCTGAGAGATAGCATCTTAGGGTTCTAGTGTGGCTGTCACAGAGATACCACAGGTGGGTGACTTCAGTAAACAGAAGCTGATTTTCTCACAGTTCAGGAGGCTGCAAGTCCGAATTCAGGGTGCTGGCTCTAGGGGAAGGCTTTTCCCTCTCTGTCAGCTCCTAGGAGGATCCTGGTTTCTTCTGTTCCCCATCAATCATCCTGTGATGTGGCATCTCTCGTCCCCATCTCTGCTCTCTTGTTTGCTTGTTTAATCTCTTTTATATCTCAGAAAAGATTGACTGAAGACACACCCTCCACTAATACTATCTCATTAACATAGACAACCCATTCCTAGGTGGCATCCTCATCACTACAGGAGGTAGGATTTAAGACCTGTATTTTTTAGGGGATACAGTTCAGTCCATTACAGATGACTCCCCTGGCTGGGGGTTGAGTGTCAAAGGCCATATAGGACCTCTGTCTCTTTTGGAGGCGATTTGGCCTCAGTGAATGGGGCCTAGCTTTCCATCATCTCTGACTTTCTGATGCCCCTTTCAGCCCTGCCTACTTACCCTCTTTATGTGGTTCTTGTTCCTCTGCTCCTTCCCTTGGACCCTTACTGCCAACCTTATGCATTCACTTGTAAAGGCTGTTCTGTTTTCAACATGGACTTCTAGCTGCTTCCTGGTCCTGCTACCTTCTCGTGTCACACTATTTTCGGTAGGATCTGTTCTTACTCCCCATGAGCTCCAGAAAAGCTTTGAGTCCTATGGCCGTTTTTCTTTGTGGGGCATTGGCCCACAGAAGAAATCTCTTCCACTATTGAGATAATTTCCATACCTAAGAGTAGATGGGAAAAAAGGGCACTGAATTTGGAAACAGAAGCCTCCATTTAAATCCAGTGACTTGAAGCAAATCTATAAAGCTGAAGTAATCATACAATTGGCTTGCACAGCTGGTATTAGGATTAGGAGTATAAGGCACACAGTCAGCCCTTAGTGTTCATTTCTCATCTTTCCAAATGATTGGTCTTTGGTGGCAGGTACTGGTGGTGGGTGTGTGCTAAATAGGATGGAGTGTAGCATCTTAAATTCTTACGGACAGAGTTAGCACTCTTTTGCACCAGGAAGTCACTTTCGTTTACCTGTTTGGCTAGGCAGCATAACATTTCAATAAGCATTATGAGAATCTGAGTATTCATGATGCTCTCAGCTCTCATTTAAAAGGAGAATTCGATGGGACACTCCTGAATAGCCTCTCCTTCTCCGTTTGTTTTTACGCTAAACCAAACTAAAAATGAAATCTCTTATTGGAGTGCCCTTCACTTTCTGCTTTATGGTCATCAGAAGGCCGGGAGGTGCGCTGCCCGGAGGAGGAAAAGGGAAGCTGATGACATTATTGCAGAATAAAATTCAAATGTGATGCCTCTCGAGAGGTTCTTTGACCTTTCGTTTTTGTCTTTTCTTCCCCCTCACCTCACAAAACGACCGGCCAGTTTTCAGCTTCTGAGAGTCAGCTGTAAGATGAGATGGACACAACAAGTGTGCTGTTGCCTGGGAGATTGTTTCCACAGTGGTCCTAGTGGCACTAAAGCTCTGTTCCCCTCCTGCACTGTTTTCAGAGTGGTCTTGGATGTGCTTCAGCCAGCGCACCAAGGGGTGTGGCCCAGATTTCAATGAACCACGGTCCTGATGGCTCACTGCCCAGGCAACGTCAGCCACGCTGAAATCTCCCTTGGGGCTGGAGTGTGTGAAGTGGCACCTCTTGCATGCGATCATTTTTGTCTTTGCAGCTAACGCTGCCTCTTACTGGTACCTCGAGAGTAAAACCTGAATACATGTTTGGAAGCATTTCAGAAAGTCTTTGTTGGAATAGTTTCACCATAAACAATATTGGATAGAAGGTGACCAATTTAAAACACTGGTACTGTTGGATTATTTTTATTAGTGTCTTAAAAAAAAAAAAAAAAAGGCATTTTATCTAATTCCACAAAAGGCTTGAGAAAATGTAGAGGAACTCATGGAACAGAATGATAGTCAAACTAAAACCAAAGTCACTGCTATCGAGTCGATTCTGACTCACAGCAACTCCACTGGGTTTTCAAGGTGGTAAATATTTACGGAAGTGGATTGCCCCATCTTCCTTCTGCAGAGCAGCTGGTAGGTTTGAACCACCAACCTTCTAGTTAGCAGTCATATGCCTTAGGCATTGCACCACCAGAGCTCCTTAGAATGATAAGATTGAAGTAAAAACATTAGAATGTCACAGTCAGAGAAATGTAAACTAAATGAGTTTACAAGGAAAAAATGGAAACCATATATATCTGTCATGAGATCCTAACTGATTGCTCTCATTGATTTGTGAGTTTGCTTTGGGCTTCCTGGCACGAGTGTGAAAATGGAAATGTGGCTAATTGGATAATTAATGAGCAGAATATAAATTCCTTAAAAAGAACTCTAAAATAAATTTCCACGTAGGTCTTAGAATTCAGCAGTGGCGACAATATCCAGTTACATGCAGACAGCAAATCACCTTTAGGTTTACATCTCCTTTGAAGGAAGCCAGGGGCATAAACAAATAACGCAGTTCTAGGGAAACAGGATGATGGGCTCAGAGAATGCAGTGTCCTCAGCAGGGCGGCGCTGTCCACTTTGACTGTCCCCATGTGAGCAGCGAAATTCAAATGGAATAAAACGGAGAATCTGGCTTCTCAGTCACAGTGGCCATGGTTCAAGTACTTACTGGCCACACGTGGCTGGCAACTACCACATCAGGCAGTGCACATACGGAACATTTCCATCATTGCAGGAGGTTTTATTGGGTAACAGCGATCTAGAACAGGATCTCCTAGAGTGGAGGCAGCAAGGTTGGATGTGCTTGACAGAGACCTGGTGTGACATACACATCCTTCAGGGCGGAGGCCACTCCCTCCGTCTTTGGGTCCCAGAACTTCTGCAAACATGAGAAAGTCTAGCGTGCTGCTGCAACGTGTCCACCTCTGTGCAGATGTGGGTGGTATAAACAGCTTGCTGAGCTGCTGACTGAAAGGTTAGGGCTTCGCGTCCACCCAGAGGCGTCTCTGCAGAAAGGCCTGGCACCCTGCTCCTGAAGAAGCAGCCATTAAAGACCCCAGGGAGCTCAGCTCTACTCCGACACACGGGTGTTGCCGGGAGTTGGCATTGACGTGATGGTGTGGGCTTGGTTGGTTTACTCTCTCCTTTTAGCCAAGACGGAAAAACTGGGGCTCCACGCCTTTCGCCGGCAGCAGACTTGATTTTAATTACGTCATTTTGCTTTCATTGTATTTATTTTTACGTTCACCTTCTGGTTATGGCACAGGAGTCTAGTTTCCACTTACCCTGGTAGAGTTTCCTTCTAAAATAACGAATTTAAGAAAAAAAGTGAGCCATCTAAACAAAAATAAGAAATAAGCGATAGTGAAAACAGCAGAGGTGTTCGGCTGGTACTGTGTGAATGGCATTGTTGCTCTGAAAGACGGCGTAGACTGGGATAAAGCAGGGATGATAGTCAAAGTAAGCGCAGCAGCTGCCTCTCACCATTGCTGTGTGTTAAACACAAGCCCACTCCATCCTCACAACAACCTGTGATGTCAGAAACACTCATTACCCCTTCTTCTAGATAGGAAAACTAAGGCCCAGAGAATGCAGTAAGGACATAGGGTGGCCTCCTCTGACCTCGTCTAACTCGCAGTGGGAAGAGAGAGTCACCAGCAGCAGCCCAAGGCTGATTCCTGTGAGGCAGAGGTCAGACATGCTGCCACCCTCCAACCTTCTTACCAGTTCAGACACCAGCTGTCCCTCCCATGACACTGGATTTGAGACTTCATTGCAGTGGCCACATAGAACTCACAGATACATATTCACAGTTAAGGGGTTTATTAGGGAAATAATAGGTTACCATTCAGGTTCAGGAATACTCAGGATACTATGCTTCAGTCAGGACAGCCTCCCCACTGCCATGCCCTCAGGCTCACCTCTGGGGTCCTTGGTCTCTCGTGTAGCCTCTGACCTGCTTGGGCAAGTATTACAAAGCTCTCTCTTAGCTGTGCCAATAGGAGCATCTCGGTGCACCGCCCTCCACCAGCAAGCCTCCTGCCCAAAGGCACTCAGCTGTCTCTGTCCGTGGGCTTTTCAGCTGCTGCTCTGTCTCGTCCCTCTTGGTTCCACTGATGTATCTCTGCAATCTCAGGGAAAGGATCTTGGGTCTAAGGACGCCCTCCCTCCTGGCTGCTATCTGTCTCAGTGGTAGTGAGATCCCCCCTTCTGCCTCTGGGAGGACTCATTTTAAGCCTAACAGGGTGACCAGACTGACCGATCCCCACACA